GGTTGCAGTGAGCTGAGATCACACCACTACACTCCAGCCTGGATAACAAAGCGAAGATGCTGTTTCAAAAATAAATAAATAAATAAATAAATAAATAAATAAATAATATTGTGATTCTATATGTAAACCATCTACAACTTCTTTGTAACAGGGAAGATGTTCTGTGTTATTTCTATTCCTTATCTCCCCAGAGTGTCTCCTAAAGCTACTAACAATTATTAATTAAGTTTCCTATTATACCTTCAGATTATAACTGAGGAAAGAGAAGTATAAGTTAAGAATGACAACAGTCATTTAGGATTTTGAATAATTAGATGATAGACTAACCGCTGAACAGGTGATAGACTTAAGTCCGGGTATCAATACGTCATCTCATTTACCAGATCCTCCAGGTGGAGGGAAAGAAACCAGACACACATACACACAAGTAGGTGTTTCCCTAAGCCCTTCTGGGCTTCACTCTAGCTACCAGGTGGCTTCATCTGGCCACTCCTGTTTATGACCATGAATGTTGAACTTCAGGCTGTAGCAATTCCTCCAGCACTGTAATATAAATCCTCAAAGAAAAATAAAAAGTAGCTCTGACCAGCTAGTTAAGAAAACCTGATCTAGAACTTCTCCCCACTTTATCATTTTGTTAAGTTGGTAGATAAGCCCCAAATTCTAACCACTTCCTTGAGTCACACTTCTTTTGCAAACTCCTGTGCATACGTGTGTTTCAGTCTGTTCTATTTATCCCATTATGCTTTTATCAATTTGATTCACAGGCCCTGGTCACAAACCTAAAATGGTAGAGGAAGAGCTTTTTTCTTTCCCTACAAATTCAGTTTTTATTAGTCTTTATGAGTAAAACCACTTCATTTTAGAACAAGTAGGAGGCATAAATTAATAAAAGAGCATTAAGTGCTATGCACTGAATTAAATTCTAGGCAGCAGTATATGTAACTTGGAGCACTGAAAAGAATCATAACTCCAGTATAGAGACATGGAAGAACATAGTGTTCAAATTCACTATGACTCTAGGTCAAAGGACCAAGAATTCAGAAGAGTTTGCCATTTAAAGTTTCATAGTTCTTCCATGATCCATATACTCCACTTCTTTACCTAAGGAGTTATTGTAGGGTTCCTATTTTCTGTGGCCAACCATACGGTATCTTGGTGGGAGGTGGGGTGGGGTGGGGAAGAGGTACATTTAATTTAAACTTTTAAAGCCCTCTTTTTACCCAATGGACTTAATTTCTCATTAATACAAGGAAATTTTTTCTCCTGTCAAGTGAGTCTCCTTGCCTCACCTATGCGCATTTCCTCCTCCTAGCCCTCCCTTAAGTTGAAACATACCACATCACCTTTATCTCCACCCAGCACCCTTTCCCCTGTGCCCTACTTAAACCCAAGTACTATCTTTGAGGATAGGGGAAGCCCCATCTCCTTCATGCAGACTTCCCACTCCTCCTCCCATCCTTACTCAGAATTCTCTTCTTGAACTGATGTCTGGTCTTTAATTTATAAATGCTGTCTCCCCAAATGAGATTAGATATTCCTCAAGGGCAGGAGTTATTTTTTCTTTCATTATTTTGTACAGAACAGTTCTCTACATCATGGCGCTTAATGAATGCTTATTAAAGTTTTCCCATTTATCAAATATCCATGTGCCTGCAGTATGTTAGATGTTGGGAATAAAACAGTGGAATTTACATAGTTATGCCTCTTGCAGCTCGTATTCATGCAAAGGCTACAAACTTGGAGTAGTGTTTGGGTAAGTGTTTCATTTGGCCAGTGCGGTGTTGAAACTGTTCTGAATCAGAATACTTCTAAGTACTCAGAACTTCTAAGCTAGGCATTCACTCTCTAGGTCACATAGGCATATGTGCTCCTCCCTCCCTTTTAGCTTCAGTAATTTATGTTACCTTCAGCACCTTGTGAAACACTCTTAATTTCACAACTTTTAATTTACAATGAATAAATGAATTCTTAAAATACAAGGCTCTTCCCACGTGAGATACTGATTAGAGTTCTTTACTACTGCCAAAACTTTTTACATTATAACACCATGAGTGGTTCTATTTCTCAACCACCGACGTAGTGCATGTTGTGCATAGTATACTTACTATACAGAAAGCATAGTAAGAAAGGCTTGTTTTAAAATTCTCAAATCCAAGGCTAGATGACATATTAAGTAATGAGAGAGAAAACACAACTGCTCAGCTCCTGCTTTGCTTCCTTAAAAGCAAATGATTTTCAAGCTGGAAAGGATGGAACCTCACTAAGAGAGAACTAAGGTGCAAGCAGAAGAGGTCACTTTACAAGAGTCCATGACTTCACATTCTGGTGAATTTTATTCCAGGGTACCAAGAGAAGCTGCAGATGTCAGAACAGAACTATTCTGACAACCTCTGGAAAAACATGGAGAAGAAGGGCGGTCTCAAGAGGCCAGAGACTCAAACACAACTTTTCTCCTCCAGTGTTTTTATTTTAATATTCAAAACTAAAGAAAAGAATTAGAATTCCTAGATTGCACAGACTAATAGTTTGACATCTATCTGTGGCAAAATTCAAAACTTAATCATTAAACAAGGAACAATAGGGGTGGGGAAAAAGATGGGATTTCTAGGAACTAGCAACTCGCCAACAATCATGCATTTTTAAACTAATGTCATTTACTTTTGTGGTAGATCAGGAAATATGCAAGATCTTTTCAGCAAGACTTTTGATTAAAATTTTTCCCATAACGTCTTTATGGAGAAGACTGCTCTATGGACTAGAGTAGTTTGGTAAGAGAGGGCTGATTCTGGCTAATTCATTAGTTCAAGCAAAATCTAGAGGGTCCAACTAGATTTCCAGCCAGTATTGTACTTGTTGTTTTCGTTACTTTGAATTTTAACAGCCACCCTGAAAGGCAGATTTTGCCTCATTTTATTGATAATGAAAAGAAGTTTCTGAAGGTCACAAAGCTAATAGTTGTCAGGGCCAGACTCTAAAACCAGCCTCCAAAAATCCAGGACCGTTCCTATGATGCCACAGGTTTCTAGAGGTACCAGGGTCATAGCAAAAGGACTTGTCCTGTATATTATCAGTGACTTGAACGTCTGATGAATAAACTCAGCAAATGTGCAGCTGACATAAAACCGAAAAGTAGAACTAACACGATGAATGACGTAAGATTAAAACATGTATCTAACAAACCGCAAGCCAGAGAGAGGCTTTAAGTAATACAAGGCAACAGAAAAAAAATTCCAATTCAAGATATGCTTAACCATGTAATTAAAAAATTAATAAAGCCTACCTTTATTTTTTTCTCCTTTGCTTGACAGCAAAGCACAGGAGATGAGGTTTTGAGTCAACTTCCGTGTATTTATTACAAAAGCCAATTAAGCAATAGATGATTGCATTTGAAGATGGCAACTCTGCACCCTACACTGTTTGGGTTAGACTGACTGACTGAATTCAGTTGGGTTGAGGATCTTTAGCACAGAGAAAGTCTTAGGAAGGAAACATAGAAACTAGTATTTATTGAAGACAACTAACATTTACTGGCTCCTTAGGCACCTCTACTAAGTGCGTTATTAAGATTATTAATTGAATCCTCACAATAAGCCTAGGGGTAGACAAAGTATATTATTCCCTTTTACGGTGAGAAACTGAGGATCAGGGATCTGAAAGGCTATCAAGCAAAGGAGACAAAAATACTATTTTGCATCGCTTTAGACCTCTCATATCTTAACTATTTTGGGGTCATGGACCCTTTTTGGACTCTGATAAAGTTTTAGATTTTTTGTTTGTTTGTTTGGCAGAAAAATCTTGTTTCTAAGTTCTCAGTTGGAGAGCTATTGGCCAGGTAGGACTAATGAGAAACAGGTACTCCTTCCTAAGCAGTCATCAATTCAATATAAAAAGACCTTGCTAACAACAGAAAAGGAGGAACCCCTCAAAATGTAATGAGCCCCCTGTCACTGAAGTGTTCAATCAAAATGTGGCTGGCCTGTCAGGAGTGCTATAGAGGAGATAATAAAATGGATTGGAGGTTGCTCTACAATTTTAAAGCACCCTTTTGTTATAAGATTGTGTGGACCTAAATAAATAATCCTTATTATTTTTGGCGACAAAACACAATTTTAAAACTGAAATTATTCTTCCAGACCATTTTGCTTGAAAGCAGAATGCCTAAATAATGTTATTTCCCATCTCTTTGTGATAGCCATATTAGGTACTTAAAAATAGCCTCATCCAAAGGGAAAAAGGAAGAGCCAACTGTTGATCTTTGTTTGATTTATACTTTGTCATAATAAAAGTAGATTCTATATTCCTTCCAATTCTTACCTAAAATTTTCCCTGAGACAACTGTCATATACACTAGATCCTAAAAAGATGGTCTTTGATAAGAACATTTACTAGTTTACAATTTTATGTTTACCTAATTCCAAAAAGCATGGGGGAGGTGCTGATGTCAGACGAGAGACACAAGCGAGATAACTCCAATCGTTGTGCTTTGTTTCTCTGATCCCTTTGCTCATGGATAAAGGATCTTACCCGTCTACTCCCTTTTATTTCTTATTTGCATCATTTTATCTCAATATTCAGCCTCCCACAGCTCCAAAGAGCACAAGAGCTACTAAGACTTTGCTCATGATATGCCATTCAGAGCACAAGCCTGACAGCTTGGCATACCAATGCAATGTTTACGGGCAAAGCTCTTACCTGGAAATCTTCACTCACTCTTCAGGTAGGAAGCAGGGTGGAAGTGCAACTCATACTGGGATACCTTTCATTGGGAAGCACAGAACAAGATTGAAGGGGTAGGGGCTAACTGTTGTTCTTCATTAGGCTACGAGATGTGAGGCTCTATCCACGCAGCTGGCGGAGAAAGGTCTCGTTTAATTAAAGCCTCCTGTAACTCATGGGTTTCTGCCATTGAAAAATCTAAGAGGCACAGCTGACAAGCAAAAACTGACAGACACACACCCGCCCTTCCCCAGTCACCCACCTCCCAGATGTTCACTTACACAACACATCGCCCGGCGGCTGCGCGCCCATGGCACGTCCGGACAGCCGTGGGGACCCGGGAGGAACCCTGCGCTCAGGCCCGGGGCGGGTCTCCGAAGCTCCCGGAGCGGCGCTGCCGTGGGAGCGGAGCTCGCTGGCGTCAGGGCGGGCGGCAGCGGAGGCCCGGCGGGGGCAAAGTGCAGTCCAGCTGCCAGGGCAGCGGCGCCGCCTTCTCGCCGGCGCCCGGCTCAGCCAAGTGGCAGCATGTGGAGGACGGGGCGTCCTTCGGCGGCGCCCGGGCTCCGGGCCCCTCCTCTCGCCGTCGTCGCCGCGCCGCGGCGCGCTCCTCGCGGGTTCGCGCCCCGCACCCGACCCGCAGGTGGCCGCCCAGGGGCGCTCGGCGCCAGGGCGCGCCCTCTGGGAGCGGCCCGCGAATTCGGGTGGCAGAGGATTGCCACGATACATCCTCAGGCGCAGGGTCCGAGGCAGGGGCGGGCGGGCGCAGCGGAGCTGGGCTGCCAGCCGGGTCACAGCCCTCACGGCCCCCGGAACTACCACGCAGCTGCCGGCGCCGCAGCGGGAACAGACCCGCAAAGCTCAATGAAAGCGGAAGCCAGCGAGACATTTCGCTGCCCTGTCCCGGCGCCTGCCCCTGGTCTCGGCCACCTGGGCTGCGAACTCTCCTGGTGAGAGGGGGCGCTGCCCTCCAAGGCCTCTCCCCCTCGGAGCCTCCCCTGGGACAACAGGTGCGGGGCCGCGGCGCTCAGCCCGCCTGCCGAGGGGGGGCCGCAGCCTCGCCGCGGCCTTCCCAGCTCAGGGTTCCGCGCTCCCGCCAGGCTGAGCCGCCAGACCTGCTTTGACCTGAAACCCCACTCTTGCAGGGCTAGGCCAGGAATTCTGCCCTTCCCACCTCATTTGCACCATGAGTATGCAAAGCAAAAGTGTTTGAAGTACTTAAACCGTTAAAGGATACATCTATTGTATACTTTTCTATACAGAAATACTCAGAAATATTTTCCAAGCTTGTCTCTCCTTCAAAGTATTTTTAAAGGCCATTTTCTCACTCTTTGAAGCATTGACTACTACTGCCTCAAAACATGGCCATTATTCAGTTACACTCCCTGAACATTCCATGTGATGCCTGCATCTGCCCAGCATGATTCCAAGCAGTAGTAAAAGTCCTGAGAGAACTACAAAAGAACCATTATTTTCCTTGTGCTCTAAAACGGATTAGTCAATGCGAAATTCATGCTTGAAGGGACCTTAGTGATAATTTTGACTCCACATTACAGATGAGGACACAGAGGCCCAGAGTTCAGCAGCAAAATGAAAAGATTGAAACTTTTTCTCTCCAAAACTAACAATCTATAAACTGAGACTTAGCTCTTTGAAGGTACACTATAATAAAAAATAAACCTGGATTGCAGAAGAGCTGAGAAATGTAAATTATTCAAAAATCTAGCTCAGAATCTCTTAGATTTTAAATGAATCAAGCATTCTTATTTTTCTACATGCTTGAATTAGCTAAGGTTATGTACAAACACAATAGCCCAGAAATGTAATTTTTCTTCATGCTAGTAGTGGGTATATTCTGACAATCTTTTTTTTCTTTTTGAGATGGAGTCTCACTCTGTTGCCCAGGCTGGAGTGCAATGGCATGATCTTGTCTCACTGCAACCTCCACCTCCCAGGTTCACGTGATTCTCCTGCCTCAACCTCCTGAGTAGCTAAGATTACAGGTGCCCACCACCACATCCAGCTAATTTTTGGATTTTTAGTAGAGATAGGGTTTCACCATGTTGGCCAGGCTGGTCTCAAACTCCTGACCTCAGGCAATCCACCTGCCTCAACCTCCCAAAGTGCTGGGATTACAGCTGTGAGCCACTGTGCCCAGCCAGTATCAATTTTAATGTATACAAATTGATTATACTTACATAAAACAAATTATTCAGTTCCACATATTTTGGGCACACCATGCTAAACAATTATGCTCAAAGTTCCACTTCCACTTTCAGGCCTAGTTCTTCATTTAAGTTATGTAATTTTTTGCTCTTCCTTCCTCAGCTTTAAACCTCTATCAACCTAGTGCTGGAATCATCCTTAGGAGACCCCTGGTTCCACACTGAGGGGTTGGTGTCCATTCTTGATGTGATCGAGGAGGAAACAAATTTGTGTTTTTTGCTTCCCAGTTACCAGACCAGAAGGAAAGAAAAAGTGGGTGAGAAAGTCTCTGGCCTCCACCAAAAGAGAAACCCATGAACTTGCAAATTTCTTTCACTCAGTTCGAGAACACACTGGACCATCTTTACCAAGTGTTAGCCCTAGTCAGCCTTAGATCTACAAATGAAACAGCCAAGAGTGAGCGAGGTCTACACACCATGAGCTGCTCCTGCAAGGCCGGAGCTGGACCATTCCTTCGCCATCTCAGGGCTAGCCAAGCTGGTGGGGGAGACCCAGGTCGGGTTGGCAGGGATGGCTAAGGGAGGTTTAGCCCATGGCCTCTACCATCTGCCCAGCTGTCCTCATGGGTGTGCACTGGAGTGAGTGGAGCAGGAGGGACAAGCCTGGGGCTGATGGGAAGAGACGGCACTGCCACCCTTCTGTGAGTGGTCCTCTGTGCTCTCTTCTGTGGGCCCTCAGGTCCATGCCAGTGTGAGTGGGTCCTTGCGGGCTGGGCCTGGAAAAGAGCCTTGACTTCTCTCCTCGGGACTGCAGACCATGCTTCTGGTCAAGACAGCGCCATGTCAGACTTGGAGGGAAGATGCGTCAAGGGAACATGGCACCCTCTGCTGCTGGGATTCAGGAAAGCTGGCTCTCCTCCCAGCTACCCAGCCTAGAACTGGGAGTCAGGGTACAGCATTTCCGCCCCTCTGTCCTCACCTGGGCTTGAACAAGGATAGAGGCTACAGGAACCAAGAACTCCTCAAACTGGTGGTGGCAGAGACCTACTGTAGGATTTTGAAAGTGCTGACACAACTCTTTAAAAGCTGGGGAATGAAGTGAGGGAGGTGAGAAGGGACCCAGAGATGGCAGGAGGTGCATGTGGTTAGGGTGAAGGCTGTAGCAAGCGTTTAGTGGTTTTGTTTTCTCCAGAGTTCGTGGAAGTAAAAATCATAAAAATAGCAATGATACAATCCTGGAATTTGAACATAAGCAATCTCATCCTAGGGTCCATGCTGTTGACAGGAAAGAAATGCTGAGCTGGATTGAGGACTGCATGTTAACCAGTAAACTTAGAGTTAATAGATTCAAATCAAGACACTCACATACTCTTTGTAAAGAACTCCCATTTCCATCCCCAGCCCACATCAGACAGACAGATCACAGAAGTACATAGCTGACTCCCTCCACTGGTTTCCCTACTTAAACAAGCCCTTTAACTTCCATTTTTGCCTCAGGCAGACCAGTCAGAGTTTGCACTTCTGGGAGAAGCAAGGGAGGTTATGTCAGTGAGGCAGAAGAGACCTCCTTTCTAAAAGTACTCTAAGCCGTGAGATGACGTGACCTTGTCAAGAAGGATCCGAGCCCTGGGATTCATTTGTCTGCCACTGGGGCTCTTACAAGCATATCAGAGAGTCAGATGTCTCCGTTTGTTTTCTGATAATGAAGTGGTGAGGACTGGATAGGGAAATGGAACAGTTTGCGAGTGCTCATTCACACGGAGGCTAGAGAATTCATGTATGCTAGAGAGAGGTAATGCAAATCACAGAAAAGATTAAATAAGGAATAGAAAATCACACTAACTCCCCACCTGCTCCCCCTACCTCTACCCCAGGTTACAAAAAAAGAAGCCAAAACCAAATCCAACTGAGTGGATAGAGGAAAATTTAAATACAAACAAGATTAACTTACTGAGGAGACAAAAAAAAAAAAAAAAAAAAACCAACTACCATGGGATATGAACCCTGATAGAATAGCACATAGGTATGACCATTGAGGAAACTCATTTTGATTCTACCTCTACATTTCTCACATAATAAAAGTTTACTGCTCTAGAGAAAAACACTTTTAGTGGTTATTGGAAAACATGGCTATTTCTTACACATATTTCTCACTGATCCAGGTTTTATGCATTAGTTTTTATATGTTCAGTCTAAAATGGTCTTTCTAAAACAGTGAACTTATCTCATATTTGCTAAGATTTTATTTGGATGTGGCTGAGAGATCCAGATATCATCTCTGAGTAGGCAAACAGACACATTTTCATGTCAGACTCTAATTAAGGTTTTAGGATACAAAGCTTTAAAAATTCAGAAGCAGAAATGGTGTATTGATTCTTTAACACTTTCTGTAACTCAAGACAACTAAAAATGTTTGATGATGAAGAACTAGGAATAGGTATGAAAATGATGTCTTGGCTGGGCACGGTGACTCATGCCTGTAATCCAAGCACTTTGGGAGGCCAAGGAGGGCAGATCACGAAGTCAGGAGTTTGAGATGAGCCTGATCAACACAGTGAAACCTCGTCTCTACTAAAAATACAAAAAGTTAGCCGGGGGTGGTGGCAGGCATCTATGATCCCAGCTACTCCAGAGGCTGAGGTAGGAGAATCGCTTGAACCCAGGAGGTGGAGGTTGCAGTGAGCCAAAGTCATGCTACTGCACTCCAGCCTGGGCGACAGTGGGAGACATCGTCTCAAAAAAAAAAGAAAAGATAATGATGTCTTACCCTTTGCTCCTGAAACTTTTCTTGAACTCTTTTTATGACTCCTACTTGTTTCTATGCCCTAGCAGGCTTCAAACCCTTGTTGTGAACCTTAATAACACCATGGGAAAGACTTCTTCTTGTTTCCCATTTCCCTAGAATCAAAGAGCAAATCATCAGATTACCTACACAGCCAAATAAGTGAAAATGTAAATCTACCAGCAGAATGTCTGTTCTAGTCCATTCTGTGCTACTACGACGGAATACCTAACACCTCACTCTTTTGGAGGATGGGAAGTTGAAGATCATGGCACCAGCAGTTTTCGTAGGTTGACTGGTGAGGGCTGCACCCTCCAGAGGTAGGGAACGCTAGCTAAATGCTGTAAGAAGCCTCACTTAAAGGGATTTTAATCCCACTGACAAGGGAACAGCTCCAAAAGTCTAATCACCTCTTAAAGGCCCTACCTCTTAATCCTATCACATCGGCAACATCTGAATTTTGGAGGGAACATTCAAACCATAGCAGTTTCCCATGATAATATTTTAATATATACCATGAGATGTTTAAAAGCTCTTATGAATTAAATTTTCTAAACAGTACTGTAGGCCATTGTAGTCTTACTCATTATGTCATGGAAATGAGAAGTGA